TCCCTTTTTTCTTTTAAAATATATTTCACACTACAGAACCCTCACTTTCCCTTTTATTGACCTTCATTCATCACATAATTACACTTATCTTCCATTTTTATTTGGTAAAAAATTAAGCTCATTTGCTATTTTAGTATTCTACTGATTTTAATTTAAATTTTTGAAATATTGGTGGCGAGATGATAACAATACAAAATAACACCTGTAAATATGTGGTATTTAAAAAAAGAAGCGATCTGTAAAAAAAAAAAAAAGGATATATTTTTGGATCAACTCAGGCGCTCAAGAAATGTGAAAAATACTATTCTTGCCATGTCAGCATATTACGTTTAATTGGCACACTTTTGTTGAGTTTAGTATAGAGTTCAATAGATACATAACTTATAGCCTTTTGGCCAAAGCTTCTAAGCATGCGAAAAGTACTTTTTTTTTTTTATTTAAAAAAAGGTACTTTTTCCTTAATCTGAGATGTTTGCCAAAACTTTTATTTTGAAAAAAAAGAGTATTTTTGGCAAGAAGCATAAGCAGTTTTGAATAAGCAGAAAAAAATAGTTTCTCCCCAAATATAGAAGCAAAAGCAGTTTTGACTTTTCTTCCTACCAAAAATACCCTTTGCAAAATATTATATATTCCAAAATAACCTTACTTAGTTTAAACTATTAAGTAATATAAAATGACTTTTGGGATGAACTTTCATATTTATTGGATGATTTTTGATATATTTAAATTATCTTAAAAGAATAAAGTACTTTTCAATTTTATTTAAAAAAAATAAAAAACTTAATTATTATCTTTAATAATAAAAATTTATAATTATTTATCTACTTATATAATATTTATTAACTATTAAGCAAATCTCTTCGTGTCCTTATTTGTAATTTGACACATAAAAGCACTTTTTGAAAATCTCGGTCAAATACAAATTATTGTTCAAAAGTGTTTTTCAAATTGATTAGCCAAACACAAACTATTTTTCTTCAAAAGTACTTTTTTGAAAAACACTTTTGAAAAAAGTACTTCTCAAAATAAGCTGATTTTTTCAGCTTGGCCAAACAGGCTATTAGTTCAAGTATCTAGATGAAAAATGGTATCAACTTTTAAGGGCTGTATTTGTCCAATTTGAAGACACGGTTTCAAGTAAAATGATAGTTTTTGCTCACGAATATTCGACTTTCACGAAAATATTTCAATGTTAATTCAAATATTGTCCATAGGCCTATGTAAACATCCATTTTTAGTTTTTCAAGTTAAATTTATATTTTTAGAAACCAAATAAATGTGCCATAAGTCATAAAAGTTTATAATTAAAAATATATACTCACTCCTGTTTTAATTTATGTGTTTCTTTTTAGTCTGTTTAAAAATAATGCATCTTTTTATATTTATTATTAATTCTTTAACTCCGATTTTATTACATGACATATTTAATGCCATAAGATTCAAGGACATTTTAGTATATTGTACACATTTTTAGTTCAAGATTACAAAATTTAAAAGTTTTTAATACTTTCTTAAACTTCATACTCAATCAAACCAAGATACATAAATTGAATGAGAAGACGTAAGAAATTTATGAAAATTGTATTAACAAAATTATATAACTCTTCAAATGATGACATGACATAAGTCGAGTGGCGACCAAGCTAAATCGAATTATAGACAGAACTGTGTCCAAATCGGATTTACTTGTCGTCCGTACAACTAAATAATTCTCCTACTAATAATATCATTAGTATATCATATGTAAAATAAGATAAAGATGTGTGAATACAATAATTTACTATTTAATTAATTTTCCAGACATTAACTTGTCATGATCAAGACAAACTTAACCCTACGTCTCACTCTATGTATTTTCTTGAGTGAGGTTGGGGTACCGGGCCCGGGTCCAATTGAAGGTGGTGGCACACATGAGCTGATTGTTCAATTAGTACTTCCATCAAGACTTTTGATCTTAACGGATTTAAATAAAATTTATGACCGTTTTCAATATATATACATTGTTGGGTGTATGAACAAAGTCTTATATTGAAAATTAAAAAAATTAAAAGTCTACATATGTAACGACCCAGTCGGTCGTTTTGACTATTACAATCCCGTTTTCCCATTTACTGCTCAAATTGTGAATTATGGTTGTTATTTGGCTTGCCGGGGTAATTGGTTTGGGTTCGGTGAGGTTTTAAAATGATTTGGAGCGCTTAGTTCCAAGGTTTAGAATTTAAGTTGAAAAGGTTGACCGGATGTTAACTTATGTGTAACGACCTCAGAGAAATTTTGCTAAGAAAATTAAGGTTTGGTGGTGCCGAGGTAGATCAATTAGTACAGAGATTATAGAAAGTTTTTGCGGCGAGCTTGCTCGCCGCGGCTCAAACTTTTTGGGTTGAACAATGCACCGAAGTGTAAAGGAAAATTTTATCAGAAAATGGTCATTTCTTCGACCACTATGCGGTCGCAGAATCACTCTGCGGACCGCATAATGGTCGCAAAGTGGAACAGAAGGAGGGCAAGATTTGAGGAAAATTTGCGGCGCACTATTCGACCGCAGACCTATTTTGCGGTGCATTATGCGACCGCAGAACAAGTATGCGGACCGCATAATGACCGCAGAACAGGTCAGTAACGTCCAACTTTGGAGGCCAAATTATGCGGCCGGTATGCGGACCGCATACCTGTTATGCGATAGCATATGCGACCGCATAACTGCGTCGGAGCTTCCATTCTTTTTAATTTTTGACCCGACCCAACTTCGATTTATAGCTCTTGAAGCTCATTTTTTAGCCAAAATCTGATATTTTAGAGAGAGGTGAGAGCATTTAAGAGAGAGAAAGTGAAGACTTAGTGATTTATCCATCAATTCTTGTTCAAGGTTTGAAGATTTCACAAGGAACTTGCTAGGGCTTCAAAGAGGTAAGAATTTCTTTCCCCAATTCTTCAATTTCGGATTTGAAGTAAAGATGAGTGATTAATAGTATGATTCTTGGGTGTAAGAGTATTATGTATACATACCAATAAGGTTGTGGAAAGATTGTTGATTCAAATGAGTAAGGATTGGGTTGAAAATGGTAGAAATCTTCATAGGTTTTAATTGAAGATTTGAAGGTCGAGTTGGTACCGGATTTTGGTAAAATTTATATGGTTGGATGGGCATTCATATTCTGTAACTTTTGTCGGATTCCGAGACGTAGGCCCTATGGGCGATTTTTGAGTTAATTTCGGATTTTATCGGGGAAATTAGTATTTTCTTATGGAATTAATTACAATAATTTGTATTGACTGATTCGAATTAATTGTGGCTAGATACGAGACTTTCGGAGACCAATTCTCGTGGCAAGGGCATAGCAGAATAAATAATTACACGGTTTGAGGTAAGTAACAATTATAAATCTGGTCCTGAGGGTATGAAACCCCGAATTTTGTGTCATGTGATTATTTTGGAGGTGACGCACATGCTAAGTGACGGGCGTGTGGGCGTGCACCGAAGGGATGGTGACTTGGTCCGTCCCGTGAACTGTAAAGTTGAATAACCTGTTGTTAGCTATAAGCTCTCTTTGTGTTGGAGAAATTTAACTGTAAATCATGTTAGAAATCATGCTTAGGTTATGTGATAGTACTGTTGGGACCCACAGAGGTCACGTACTTGTTGAATTATTTGCTAATTGCTATCTTGTACTCAGTCATGATTTTACTAGCGTATCATACCTCAGTCTTTCTTGATATTTGTTGATGCACTATGTTATCTTTGTTTGGGCTGATCTTTGTGATTTTTGAGAGCCCGAGAGACTTGAGAGGTTGAGGACTGAGTAAGGCCGAGGGCCTGTCGGTGAGGTAAGGATATTATGGCACGTGAGTTGTCCGTGCAGGATATTATAGCACGTGAGTTGTCCGTGCAGCACGTGAGTTCTCCGTGCAGATTATGGCGCTTGGGCTGTAGGAGCCCCTCTGGAGTCTGTACACACCCTCAGTGAGCGCGGGTACCCATTGAGTGTGAGTGCTGAGGGCTGAGAGCCGAGTGGTTGAGCTGTTGTGATGAGCTGAGTGACTGTTGCCTGAGAGGCTGTACTTGTTTTGCATCTGTTGTTGTACTTGGTTGCTATCTGTCATTGTTGTAAAATATCTGAAAGAATTTATATCCGGATTACTTGAAATTGAACTGTATAAAATTGATTTGACTTAAACTGCCGGATTCGAAAGCATGTCTATTCTTTGTTGGGATTACTGAAAGTGAACTATAACTGTGTAACTCGTCATTATCTTCAGTTCCTTAGTTATTTTTGTTACTTGCTGAGTTGGTTGTACTCATACTACACCCTGCACTTCGTGTGCAGATCCAGGTATTCCCGGATATAGCGGGTGTTGATCATTTCGCGCAGTTGATTTTCAGGAGATTTTGAGGTAACTGTCGTGTTCCGCAGACCTTGTCTCTCCTTCTCTATATCCTTGTATATTGTATTTGGTCTCAAACTATTATAGACCGTATTTTCCAGACTTGTACTCATATTAGATGCTCATGTACTCAGTGACACTAGGTTTTGGGAGTGTTATATCGGAAATTGCTAGATTTTTGGTATTGTATTAAACGTTACGTTTTTAAATTTAAAGGAGATCGTGGGTTATTGATGTTGTCGGCTTGCCTAGTACTGAGATAGGCGTCATCACGACAGGTTAGGATTTTTGGATCGTGACAACATATAAGGTGTAGAGATCTCTTAACGATGTGAAACCTTTTGGGGAAACCGTATGGGCTTGGCCCAAAGCGAACAAGTATATTTGGATTAGTTTAGCCTAACAACATACATTAATATATTTAGAATTTTTGTGGAGGTTAACGGTTGGGTGATCCCTCTTCTCCAAGCATAGGGTAACGATCGTCAACGCACGAAAGAATCATGCGTTTTTTGAAACGGAATATTACTACAGTACAAACCCTTTTTACAGACCTCCCACAGACTAGTATTAATACCAGTACTACATCGTCATTATTATCAACTTCAAATCCCAAGTGAATAAACAAACTGAGAAAACACAGAAAATAGAGAGAGAAAACATTGAGAGAAAAGTAAAACAGAGAAAATGGGCAGAGCTCCTTGCTGTGAAAAGCTTGGATTAAAGAGAGGTCCGTGGAGCAAAGAGGAAGATGACTTACTCATCAATTACATTAATAAACATGGCCACCCTAATTGGCGTGCACTTCCCAAACTTGCAGGTAGAAACTAGAAACATAAACCAATTTAGTATTATGTCTGACCGCATTATTGCCTTTTGACAAGACGAAGGGCAACAATGAAGAAGGATAATAATGTAATAATATTTTGTTACTCGTCAAGTTTAAATCTTGAACATTACATTGTTCTTATTTTAGGTTTGTTAAGGTGCGGAAAAAGTTGTCGTCTCCGATGGACTAATTATTTGCGACCTGATATTAAGAGAGGAAACTTTACTCCTGAAGAGGAAAACACCATTATCAAGTTGCA